ACAAATACTGATGATGACGTCATTAAATATATTTAATTGATTATTCTAGCGATTTGACTGCCTAGAATATAAGACAAGTACTAATAATGACGTCACTGAAATTTTTAAAAATCACCTATTAGGTGGCTATGGAATTAGGGCAACCACTTTAGCCTTTTAAAAATTTATATTTGAGTTTTTAATGTAAGTATCAGTGATGACGTCACGGAATTAAATTGCAAGTCACGTAATGATGATAAAATCATTAAAATTATCTGATTGATCGATAATTCCAGGCATTTGGCCATCAAGGATAAAAGACAAATACTGATGATGACGTCATTAAATATATTTAATTGATTACTCTAGCGATTTGACCGCCTAGGATATAAGACAAGTATTGATAATGACGTCACTGAAATTTTTAGAAATCACCTATTAGGTGGCTATGGAATTTGCGCAACCACTTTGGCCTTTTAAAAATTTATATTTGAGTTTTTAATGTAAGTATCAGTGATGACGTCACGGAATTAAATTGCAAGTCACGTAATGATGATAACAATATTAAAATTATCTGATTGATCGATAATTCTAGGCATTTGGCCATCAAGGATACAAGACAAATACTGATGATGACGTCATTAAATATATTTAATTGATTATTCTAGCGATTTGACTGCCTAGAATATAAGACAAGTACTAATAATGACGTCACTGAAATTTTTAAAAATCACCTATTAGGTGGCTATGGAATTAGGGCAACCACTTTAGCAATTTAAAAATTTATATTTGAGTTTTTAATGTAAGTATCAGTGATGACGTCACGGAATTAAATTGCAAGTCACGTAATGATGATAACATCACTAAAATTATCTGATTGATCGATAATTCCAGGCATTTGGCCATCAAGGATACAAGACAAATACTGATGATGACGTCATTAAATATATTTAATTGATTAGTCTAGCGATTTGACGGCCTAGAATATAAGACAAGTACTAATAATGACGTCACTGAAATTTTTAAAAATCACCTATTAGGTGGCTATGGAATTAGGGCAACCACTTTAGCCTTTTAAAAATTTATATTTGAGTTTTTAATGTAAGTATCAGTGATGACGTCACGAAATTAAATTGCAAGTCACGTAATGATGATAACATCATTAAAATTATCTGATTGATCGATAATTCCAGGCATTTGGCCATCAAGGATACAAGACAAATACTGATGATGACGTCATTAAATATATTTAATTGATTATTCTAGCGATTTGACTGCCTAGAATATAAGACAAGTACTAATAATGACGTCACTGAAATTTTTAAAAATCACCTATTAGGTGGCTATGGAATTAGGGCAACCACTTTAGCCTTTTAAAAATTTATATTTGAGTTTTTAATGTAAGTATCAGTGATGACGTCACGGAATTAAATTGCAAGTCACGTAATGATGATAACATCATTAAAATTATCTGATTGATCGATAATTCCAGGCATTTAGCTATTAAGGATACAAGACAAATACTGATGGTGACGTCATTGAATTTATTTAATTCTAGGCATTTAACCGCCTAGGATATAAGACAACTACTGATAATGACGTCACTGAGATTTTTAGAAATCACCTACTAGGTGGCTATGGAATTAGGGCAACCACTTTGGCCTTTTATAAATTTATATTTGAGTTTTTAATGTAAGTATCAGTGATGACGTCACGGAATTAAATTGCAAGTCACGTAATGATGATAACATCACTAAAATTATCTGATTGATCGATAATTCCAGGCATTTGGCCATCAAGGATACAAGACAAATACTGATGATGACGTCATTAAATATATTTAATTGATTATTCTAGCGATTTGACTGCCTAGAATATAAGACAAGTACTAATAATGACGTCACTGAAATTTTTAAAAATCACCTATTAGGTGGCTATGGAATTAGGGCAACCACTTTAGCAATTTAAAAATTTATATTTGAGTTTTTAATGTAAGTATCAGTGATGACGTCACGAAATTAAATTGCAAGTCACGTAATGATGATAACATCACTAAAATTATCTGATTGATCGATAATTCCAGGCATTTGGCCATCAAGGATACAAGACAAATACTGATGATGACGTCATTAAATATATTTAATTGATTAGTCTTGCGATTTGACGGCCTAGAATATAAGACAAGTACTAATAATGACGTCACTGAAATTTTTAAAAATCACCTATTAGGTGGCTATGGAATTAGGGCAACCACTTTAGCAATTTAAAAATTTATATTTGAGTTTTTAATGTAAGTATCAGTGATGACGTCACGAAATTAAATTGCAAGTCACGTAATGATGATAACATCACTAAAATTATCTGATTGATCGATAATTCCAGGCATTTGGCCATCAAGGATACAAGACAAATACTGATGATGACGTCATTAAATATATTTAATTGATTAGTCTTGCGATTTGACGGCCTAGAATATAAGACAAGTACTAATAATGACGTCACTGAAATTTTTAAAAATCACCTATTAGGTGGCTATGGAATTAGGGCAACCACTTTAGCCTTTTAAAAATTTATATTTGAGTTTTTAATGTAAGTATCAGTGATGACGTCACGGAATTAAATTGCAAGTCACGTAATGATGATAAAATCATTAAAATTATCTGATTGATCGATAATTCCAGGCATTTGGCCATCAAGGATACAAGACAAATACTGATGATGACGTCATTAAATATATTTAATTGATTAGTCTAGCGATTTGACGGCCTAGAATATAAGACAAGTACCAATAATGACGTCACTGAAATTTTTAAAAATCACCTATTAGGTGGCTATGGAATTAGGGCAACCACTTTAGCCTTTTAAAAATTTATAATTGAGTTTTTAATGTAAGTATCAGTGATGACGTCACGGAATTAAATTGCAAGTCACGTAATGATGATAACAATATTAAAATTATCTGATTGATCGATAATTCCAGGCATTTGGCCATCAAGGATACAAGACAAATACTGATGATGACGTCATTAAATATATTTAATTGATTATTCTAGCGATTTGACTGCCTAGAATATAAGACAAGTACTAATAATGACGTCACTGAAATTTTTAAAAATCACCTATTAGGTGGCTATGGAATTAGGGCAACCACTTTAGCCTTTTAAAAATTTATATTTGAGTTTTTAATGTAAGTATCAGTGATGACGTCACGAAATTACATTGCAAGTCACGTAATGATGATAACAATATTAAAATTATCTGATTGATCGATAATTCCAGGCATTTGGCTATTAAGGATACAAGACAAATACTGATGGTGACGTCATTGAATTTATTTAATTCTAGGCATTTAACCGCCTAGGATATAAGACAACTACTGATAATGACGTCACTGAGATTTTTAGAAATCACCTATTAGGTGGCTATGGAATTAGGGCAACCACTTTAGCAATTTAAAAATTTATAATTGAGTTTTTAATGTAAGTATCAGTGATGACGTCACGGAATTAAATTGCAAGTCACGTAATGATGATAAAATCATTAAAATTATCTGATTGATCGATAATTCAAGGCATTTGGCCATCAAGGATACAAGACAAATACTGATGATGACGTCATTAAATATATTTAATTGATTATTCTAGCGATTTGACTGCCTAGAATATAAGACAAGTACTAATAATGACGTCACTGAAATTTTTAAAAATCACCTATTAGGTGGCTATGGAATTAGGGCAACCACTTTAGCAATTTAAAAATTTATATTTGAGTTTTTAATGTAAGTATCAGTGATGACGTCACGGAATTAAATTGCAAGTCACGTAATGATGATAACATCATTAAAATTATCTGATTGATCGATAATTCCAGGCATTTGGCTATTAAGGATACAAGACAAATACTGATGGTGACGTCATTGAATTTATTTAATTCTAGGCATTTAACCGCCTAGGATATAAGACAACTACTGATAATGACGTCACTGAGATTTTTAGAAATCACCTATTAGGTGATTTCTAAATTCAAATATTTTTCATGTTTTTTGATTTTTTTTTCAAATCCTTTCATTTTTCACATTGAATTTTTTTGAAATTTTATTTTGATTTTTTTTAAAAGTTTTGAATTTTTTCAAACTGATAAACAAGTACTTTTAAATTTTGAATTTTTTAGAAATTTATGAATTTTCCATGTTCTTTTATTTATTTTTTTCAATCCTTTCATTTTCCAGATTGACATTTTTTGTTTTTTTTTTTTAAATTTTGAATTTTTGAACAATTCAAATTTTGTAAAAAAATTTGAATTTTCCATGTTTTTTGAAATTTTTTAAATTCATTCAATTCCCAGTTTGATTTTTTATTTTGATTTTTTCAGTTTTGAATTTTTTTTTGAACCTGTTGAGTTCTTTTGAATTTTCTAGAAATTTTTGAATTTTCCATGTTTTTTGAATTTTTTTCTTGAACTTGTCAAGTTCTTTTGAATTTTTTGAATTTTCTAAAAAAATTTGAATTTTCCGTGATTTTCGATTTTTTTTAAATCCCTTTATTTTCCAGATATATATTTTTTTTTTTAATTTTTATTTTGATTTTCATGTAAAGTTTTGAATTTTTTTGAACTAGGTTTTTTGAATTTTTCAAACATTTCAAATTTCCTAAAAATTATTGTAAAAATTATTTCAAATTTATCAAAAAAAAAAATTGAAAAAATCTAAAAAAGGCAAAAAAAAAATTCAGGGAAACTCAAAAAAAAAAATTAGAAAAATTCAAAAATTAAATTAAATCTAGAAATTCACAAAAAAATCACACTTTTTGGTTTGAATTTTTTCGAACTTTTCAAGTTCTTTTCAATTTTTTGTGTATTTTAAATTTTCCAGAAATTTTTGAATTTTTCAAGTTTTTGAATTTTTTAAAATTCTTTCATTTTGAAGTTAAATTTTTTTGAATTTTTTTAACTCATGTTTTCTAGAATTTTTTCAACATTTTCAACTCTAAAGAAATTTTGAATTTTTTGTGTTTTATTTTTTTTTGAATTTTTCAAAATTATGAATTTTTGTAAAGTTTTGAATTTTTTTGAAATTTCTTAAATTTTTGCATATTTTTCAACTTTTCAATTTTGTTGAATTTTTCAATATTTTTTTAATTTTTGAATTTTTTCAACATTTTAAATTTTCTGGAAATTTTTGAATTTTCCTTGTTTTTTCGAATTTTTATAATCCTTCTATTTTTTAATTTGAATTTTTAATTTGATTTTTTTCAAAGTTTTGAATTTTTTTGAAATTGCCACATTTATGAATTTTTTGGACATTGTAAATTTTCTAGAAATTTTTTAATTTTTCAAGTTTTTTGAATTCTTTTTAAGTTTTTTTATATTTTTGAATTTTTTTAGAGTTCAAAGTTCTAGATCAAATAATGTACTAAAATTATTTTATCATTTGTAGAAAAGTGTTTTAAAATTTTTAAATTTTTCAAATTATAGTAATGTGACGTTGCCAAATGTATATTTTGTGGGTAAATTCCAAAAGAATCAATCCATTTCACACGAAATAATTCAATTTACATCAAGATACAGTTATGCAACGTTGTCAAATGTAAATCTGAGATATCACTTCATTTTAAACGAAATCAAGAGTCATGCGATGTTGCCAAATTTACAATTTTATAACTGAATTTCTTACTTCGACTCCTGTAACTCCCAGCGCGTCTCTGATGTTGGGCGTAAGCCTGAAGGGCACTTTTTCTGGCACACGCAAAGTTTTCCCCTTTTCGAAGCACACGTTGTAGTCAATGTGGATGGACGACATCACCGGTGGATAAATCGATCAGGACGTTGTCCAAGTGCCGGTCGCCCAAACCAATAATGTAACCTTTAAAAAAATAAAACAAACTGAAAATTTAATTAGTTTCAATTTACGCCTAATTACGTCGAAATCGGCCGGAAAATAACAAAGTTATGAAATGTACTAAATCTAGTACAATTTCTTTAAAAAAAAAAGTTGTGTGTTTTATAACTTAAAAATGATTTTTTTTTCAAATTCAAGTTGAAATGTATCAAAAAACCAAAATTGAAAATTGTACTAAATTTAGTACAATTTCCAAAAATATATTTTTTTTTTATTTTATAGGAGATTATTAAAAGTTTTTTTTTAATACATTTAAAATGTACTAAAAATTCGTGGATGAAAGATGTACTAAACCTAGTACAATTTCTAAAAAAAAAATTTAATCATTGTAAAAGCGTCTTTCATAACGTTTCTAACTAAATTCGAATTGTACTAAAACTAGTACAATTCCAAAAAACTTACTCACCAATAATACTCATGACGGCAACACTGTACGAGTACCGTTTGACCACTTGCCACCAGGCATTGGCCGACACGGCGGTGCACCACAATTCTCAGATCGCTAGGCGTTTCGTTTGTGAGCTCTGTCAGAACTTCTTTAAGCACCGCCAGAGGCCACTCTTTGCGGTTCTCGATGTTGCTCACTCCATGCTCAACGAGTTTGTTGTAAAAGAGCTCAGAAGGCCGAGGAACTGTGGTGTTGCTCAGAAAAATGAAGAAAAATCGAATTTTTGGAGGTTGGTTCAGATTTTTATGAAAATTGCTTAAATTTGTGAACAAATTCTTACCTTTACCGTTGGGTTTGGCCAATTCGCGCTGTTGCCAGCGCTTGTAGAGCGCAAAAACTGGCGTCGTCCCGTCTACCCACGAAATCAATCCGGATCGTGGACCTATAATATGGGAATTTTACAACAATTTGACAACATTGGAACATTTTGATATTTGGAAAAAAAATTAGAATTTTTTCAACAATTTGACAACAGTGCAACTGTGTTTTTTTGTTTAAATTCAAATCGACATTGCCAAATCTGCCTAAAAAAGTTAAATACGATGTAACCCAATTCAATTTTTTTTTTCGTACAACGTTGCCATTTACTCTAATTTTCCTTAAAAACTCACCCAGAGGTATTACGGAATAGTGTCGGGCCCTGTAGAGGTTTTCGCCGGCCGGATCAGCGTTCTGAGCCATCATCGTGTTTGGCGATGCTCAGAAATTGCATTATTCTCTCGTCCAAATGTAAATCTTCGAGTCCCTGAAATTTTGGAAAATTTCAACTTTGGCTCAGAAATAATTTCTGACAAGAATTTACTAAAATACTGAGTAAATAATATTTGTACTTAAACTAGTACAATTGCAAGAAAGTTTCTAAATGTGTATTCAAATCAAAATTTTAAAGCAAAAAATAATTGTACTAGAAGTAGTACAATTGCTAAAAAGCGTCTAAATGTGTATCTAACAACGTGTATGATGTTTTAAAACAAAAAATAATTGTAGAACAATCAAAATAATAATTGTACTAAATCTAGTACAATTGCTAAAAATCGTTTAAATGTGTATTTAACAACGTCAATGATGCTTTAAAGCAAAAAATAATTATAATAGATTTAGTACAATTGAATAATAATTGTACTAAAACTAGTACATTTGTTGAATCGTAATGAAATGGGTTTTAAAAAACGTGAAGTATGTTTTGAAACAAAAAATAGTTGTACTGAAACTAGTACAACCAAATTAATGAATGTACTAAAACCAGTACAATTACCAAAAAGCGTAAAAAGTAAGTAAGTAAAAAAAAAAAACTATCAAAAAATATTAAAATTGTAATTTTGTGAATTTCTAGATTGTAAATTTGTGAATTCCAAAAAAATTAAAAAATTGTAATTTTTTGAATTTTTAAGATTGTAACTTAAATGAGTTTTAAGAAAGTTGTAACTCTTTGAAATCTTGTGAAATTCAAAAAAATTGTAATTTTGTAAATTTTAAGATTGTAATTTTGTGAATTTCAAGATTGTAATTTTGTGAATTTTAAGAAAATTTTTAAATTGCAATTTTATGAATTTAAAAATTGTAGAATTTTAGGATTGCAATTTTATGAATTTAGAGAAAATTTTCAAAACTGTAATTTTGTGAATTTTAAGATTGTTATCTTGTGAATTCCAAGAAAATATTAAAATTGTAATTTTGTGAATTTTAAGAAAAATTTCAAAATTGTGATTTTTATAATTTTTAAGTTTATAACTTTACGAGTTTCAAAAAAATTGTAATTTTTTAAATTTCTAGATTGTAAATTTGTGAATTCCAAAAAAATTCATTGTCGAAAAAATTTAATTGTCAAAAAATTACATTTAACGAAAATTTCGATTTTTAAAAAAATACAATTGTTGAAAAAGTTAATTGTCAAAAAAATTCAATTGTAAAAAAATTCAACTTTCGAAAACTTCATTGTCAAAAAGATTCAATTGTCGAAAAAATTCAATTGTCAAAGATTTCAGTATTCAAAAAAATTAATTGTCAAAAAAATTCAATTGTAAAAAAATTCAACTTTCGAAAACTTCATTGTCAAAAAGATTCAATTGTCGAAAAAATTCAATTGTCGAAAATTTCAGTATTCAAAAAAATTAATTGTCAAAAAAATTCAATTGTAAAAAAATTCAACTTTCGAAAACTTCATTGTCAAAAAGATTCAATTGTCGAAAAAATTCAATTGTCAAAGATTTCAGTATTCAAAAAAATTAATTGTCAAAAAAATTCAATTGTAAAAAAATTCAACTTTCGAAAACTTCATTGTCAAAAAGATTCAATTGTCGAAAAAATTCAATTGTCAAAGATTTCAGTATTCAAAAAAATTAATTGTCAAAAAAATTCAATTGTAAAAAAATTCAACTTTCGAAAACTTCATTGTCAAAAAGATTCAATTGTCGAAAAAATTCAATTGTCAAAGATTTCAGTATTCAAAAAAATTAATTGTCAAAAAAATTCAATTGTAAAAAAATTCAACTTTCGAAAACTTCATTGTCAAAAAGATTCAATTGTCGAAAAAATTCAATTGTCAAAGATTTCAGTATTCAAATTAAGGGCTACAATCCTAAAAATTGATCCAAAATCTTCCACGGTTTTAGAGAAAATTGAATTTGAAAATTTTGAAATTAAAATCCAAAGGGGTTAGACCCTTTGAAAAAATCGAAATTTTTATTTTTCAGATTTTTTGAATTTTGACTTTTCCAATCGATAGAGCGAATCTAAATTAGTCGAAAAAAACTCTAACTTCATTTCCAAATCTCGATTTCAAAAAAGAAAAAAAATCAAAAAGAAAATCTCAATTTTCAGGTTTAAATTTTTTTAAATCCTAACAAAGTTAGGAGCAATTCCCAATATTTCCTTTGAAGTTTGAGCAAATCAAAACAAATTATACATTGTTGGAAAGAGCAATAAATTTTCTGTAAAGCAATGCAAGATTGAGCTCCATAGCTCAGATACTTTCCGAGCAATTACACCTCAAATTTGAATTTTAGTCGAAAAAGTATCAAAAACTTCAAACTAAATTCTTTCGAAAACCGTAAATGCCAACGACTTCAACCGAGTACCATTTTAAAGCCCTCACCAAGGGATACAATCTCAAAAAAAATTGATCCAAAATCTTTGACAGGTTTCGAGAAAATTGAGTTTGAACATTTTGAAAAAAAAATTCAAAGGGTTTACCAGTGATCATCGCCTGTAGTATACGCGATAAATAGGTCGCGGGTGACGTCATGAAAATAGAATTCTACTTGTCATGATCCCAATCTAGGATTGCTTCAAGGTTCACTCATGGCGTTTCCGATTGGTAGATCTAGTGCGGAACTAGTGCATTTTTTTCTATTTCTTCTACAGGTCGATTAAAAGGATGCAAATACACTCAGTGCGCACTGAATCTACCAATCGGAAACGCCATTAGTTTTTGATAAGTAATAATCTTATCCCTTGTCATAAATGATATTTGACATTTTGCCCAACAGTGTTGCCGATGTTTATATAATTACTGTTATGAAAAATTTAAAATTTGCAAGGCCTACTTGGGCGTTTTTTGTATAAATTCGAGCCTCAATGATTGACACAATATTTGTTATGAGTTGTAGTTGGCAACATTGTTTGACAAGGGACAAAGTAGGCATTGCAAAATTTTAAAATTTAAATATGGCGCCCTGTAATACCGACATTGCAATACATACATGTTTCCAAAGCCTATTTGGTTTGATATAAACCCGTAAGGCGAGAATTTTCCTGAAAAATCAATTTTCAAGACTTCTGGTGATTTTTCATTCCAATTTCTGGTGAATTTAATTTTTTTGATCTGGCAACAGTGAGTCAACGTTGAATCGATTATCTCCAAATGATAAAGATGTTTTGCCAAATCAAATCGAAGAATTGGGTGAAATGCAATACCATGTCCTAAGCAGTTCTGATAAAGGAATGAAATATTTTGTTGATATGAACAGCAATATATGTTCTTGTCCTGTAGGTGTCACTGGAAAAATATGCAAGCATCAATCTGCAATAATAAAACAATTTAATTTAACAAACGTTTGCAATAATACCTTGTCACTTGCAAGTAGGAAAATTTTGTACTTTATCGCTACGGGAAAACAAGCTTCAGAAAATGTGTTGTTACCTCTTAAACTAGTCGACTGTACTGAAATTGCTGAAAATTATGTACTCAGGCCTATTGTGGAATCTACAAGTAACGACCATTATTGTGCCCTCAAATAGCGAACAGTGTATGGAATCTCCTGAAAACAACAGTAATGACATTAAAAAAGAATGGCGTGAATTTATTTTGTAAATTTAATGAAGATATCTTGAAAAATTTGGAAGCTGATCCAATAGGCTTTAGTCCAGCCGTCGAAAAGTTTATGAAGAAAAAAAAATTGCTGTTCAGCCGACATCTGTGTCTCGGAGAAAGGTGAAAATGACAGGTAGAAGATCAATGCAGGCAGGAAGAAAAGTCGGAAGCCTTAGAGTAAAGAAGTCTAAAGCTCTTCATTCTCTTAATACTTGTGTGAATAATAATATTGGACTTGTAATTATTTGTAATTATTGCAATGAATAGCAGCCAACACTGTATGTATGTACATACATACAGCATGTCCGTGTGTTTTTTCGTTCACTTGCTAGCCATTTTTTATATTTACATTTTAAAATTTATTTTGTAATATAAATATTTTTTTAGTTCAGCAGTAAAATGTGGAGTGATTTTTTCTTTTCTACGACATTTAGTTTACTACTGTTTTATTCACCTATCTCGAGCAATACGTCATTATTTATAAACACATAAACCAAGATATTTCTGCCCAAAAGAATCGAGCGTACGGTAGTTAGCTAAGTCAATCTGGGGGGTCAGGGTGCAACAAATTAGCAACAAGCTGATTCCAGCGGGAATGTTTAGTAAGTGACCTCTTATTTAACCTCCTAATAGTCCCATTCAGTCTTAGGGGTGGAAGGTTGCAAAAAATGGCCGCCATCTTGGATTTTTTTGTTTTTTTCAAATATCTCAGTTTCTATTAGTTTTTTCAAGAAAACTCAAGAAACCTTTTTTGTGAAAAATTTAATTCTCTATAAAAAGTGTCTGTACTTTTTTTTTTGTAACATAAAGGATAACGAAGATACAGAGCTTTTTATAGTAAATATTTCAAACATTTCTTTACTTTTATCCCTTTCGAAATGTTTAGAAAAAGTCTAAGGTTGAATAGAGAACGAAAACGATTTCCCCTGTTCCACCTCCAGTAAAAAGCGCTGGGAATGCTAGAGGTG